ACATCTGTCAGAACGGTCAGAGGACCGTAATGGGGCTGTCGAGCGATAATCACGATAGTCACAATAGTGATCACAATAGTGATCACAATGATGACCCCAAAAAAACCGTGTATTCCCCCCCCCCAAGGTCCAGAGGCGTAGGTCCTCTGGGCACATATAACAGAGGGTACTGTCGGCGCTATGAACCCCTAGGGTTCACCTGTAATGCTGCTGCCTACCAGGGGTCACCTGTAATGCTGCTGCCTACCAGGGGTCACCTGTAATGCTGCTGCCTGTCCCTTTAGTGTTGTGTCCACTTTAGGTGGCCTCGTTCTGACAACATCACCTGGACTCCCCAGCGACTTCAGACATTCACTGGTCTCACTGACGGTCTACGGCTACGGCGCGACAATGACACTCGTTGGAATTCGTGGCATAGCATGGTTGAGTGGGCCCTTAGAACAAAAGTCCGTCAAGGCATCACCATATTTTGTGCTCAAGAGCCTGCCCTGCAAGACGATGCTCTGACTTCCTCTGACTGGGTTACTCTGGCTGAAATTCACAAATTTCTCGAACCTTTTCACGACGCTACAATGGCCAACGAAGGCACCGGCAATTCCATCTCTGACGTTCTGCCAACCATGGACTATCTCTTGCATCACATTGAAGCGGCCAAGGAGGCCACTACCATCCCCCACTTGGCTACAATGATGGAGACGACATGGGCCAAATTAGCCGACTACTACGAATTGACGGAAGATTCGCCAGTCTATTCAGCAGCGACGGTATTAAATCCTTCCTCAAGTGGGCATATATGGAGAAGACTTGGGACGACAAGAATGAATGGATTGAGAGAGCTAAAGCTCGGGTAGGGGAGCTCTGGAGGAGGCATACAAATCTACCACTCCCTGCCCTGTTCTTCGACCAGCTTCCGCACAAGAGCCAAGTGCAAGACGACCAAATGGGTACAAAATGTGGATGAAAGAGCAAAGGCTACGATTTTCAACATGGATGACGACGAGTACGAAGTGTATTGCCGCGAGCCTGTGGTGATGGTATCGGATCCGTTGAAATGGTGGTTAGAGTCAGCGCAGCGGCGACGGTTCCTAACTTATCTTTGATGGCCATTGACCTTCTATCGATTGCGCCTATGTCTACTGAGACAGAGCGGCTCTTCTCCAAAGCCAAACTTTCGGTAACCGACCAGCGAGGATCTATGAACATTGAAACTTTAAATCTCTTGGAATGCCTACGATCCTGGGACCGGAGCGCTCTGATACTCCCATCCGAGGTAAGATTTCTGTTTCGTCAGATGAAGATTGTCTAATTATGGATTCCAGTGTCGCTATATCGATCCGGAAGCCACCGGTACCGGGTCTGAGCCTCTGATTCAGGAAAGAGGCGAGGAAAGCTGCAGGTAAGGCAGGCAATTCGGTGAGGGCGCTGGAAAACTTGAAGGCAACCTTGCAGGTGCGACGGGTGCAATGCCAAATGTCAGACTATATGTTCACACTAATAGTGTAGACCACAGTTTGCACTGTAGTTCAGTTTGGCCGTGACGAACAGACTAATAGTTCAGTTTGAACATCTCAGGCACACTGGTAGTGTAGTGCGGCCAAGTCACACGCACTGAATGAGCAGTTTGAGGGGTCCAAACGCACTGGCCACACTATTAGGAGCATTGGACCAACCAGGCATACCGAAAGGCAATGGGCTTGCCATTGCGCTACAGCAAGACTGAATATGACTGGTGCCTCGACTGGAAGCAAATGTCAAGGAGCTGCGGCTCGAGGCAATGGACCAAGGTAGAGATGATGGCATACCTTGATTGGGATAAGGCAGAAGAAGAGCGATTAGATGCCCGGGTGGCCGAGGAAATTCAGGTGCAGCCTTTCTCACGAGAAAGAGGTACTGCAGGTATATGGGCTGACTGCGAGAGAGACTCAGAGGAACAGCAGGCATTTTATTCACATATATAAGTGGTGATGATGCCGGCGATGCGAAAATGTGAGGCAGATCGTGAGATCACCGACATGCACCGGCGTGTAGCACTGTAGCTGGCCAATTTTTTGGCGGTGAACTTCCCGCGCACCCTCCCTTGCCACGCAACAGCGGCGCCCTTTGCGTCACGTCAATCTACCAAATAGGGAAGGCTATGGGTTCGAACCCCAAGGAATATCCTCCTTTGCAATTAATTGAAGCTATATGTATGCAGCAAGCATGCTGTATCGGTGAGGCCGACTGCGAGCGCAGTTGGCGGCGGCCCAAATGGCCTGCCAGGCTTACATAACAGGCGCGGACGTCCGCGCCGACTTTAAAGGCGCGGGGGTCCGCGCCTGCATTGGCTCCTGCAGGGCCAGCGACGACTCTCACCTCCACGCGGTGCTGGCTGGAAATCTGCGAATACTGTTGCCGTCGGGTATTCGCAGAGCCAAGAAGAGTCACAACCGATCAGCATTTGTCCGCTGGTTTGGGCTACGGGACGGGTTAGGGCTCCCAAGCCCTACCGCCCACAAGCCACAAGGGAACACTTTAAAAACCATCCGACCCACGACCGCGACATCGAGCCTACACGAGATGAACAAACGGGTTGTGGACTAGGACACCCTTGGGGTGCCTTGGGCTGCGCCGCTGGAAGGAGAAAGCGCCGCGTTGGGGAAACGACTGGAAAGCGAAATTGCAGCAGACGAACGACAGAACCGACAGGGAACATGAAGCGAATGACAGAAAAGCACATTGAGCTCGAGGAAACGACAAGACGCATAGCGCGCTTTCAACCACACGGAGAACGACAAGGCACTTTGGTTAGTAGGAGACTGAACTCTGCGTCGCTCGGCTGTTCCGGTTACAGAAAGGACGCAGATGGACAAACTCCTGCGAGACACGGTCGGCCTTGCCAGAGAGATCTTGCAAGGCAGCGCGAAACAGATTGACAATCTGCGGGGCGCAGCATACAATGGAAGCGACGGAAGACTGGGTGGGCGGACTGCAGCTACGACACTTTCTGTATGGCTCGAGAGGACGGACGCGCGTGTCGGTCGCCTTAGAGGACGGGATCTTGTAGGTGACCGTCGAGGACGAAGCCTACAAGTTGGCCGTTGAGGGAGGCTTAAGGAGCAAACTGGTATTGACTTGCGAACCGGCTGTGCCCCGTATATGGAGCGGATAAGGATCGAAGGGGATGCAAGGTAGAGGGTCTATGTAGGTAGACACGCTGCCCGCCTCTACGACATATTCTTGAATATGAATCAATACTTGGAATACAGGCGGCAGAAAGCGACCTATGTGGCTGTGGTCAAGCAATCGAGACAGTGGAGCACTTCCTCTTTCGATGTAAGGCATGGATCTCTGAAAGAGAAAGCATGATGAAATGCAATCGAACCAAGATGGGAAATCTGTCTTTCTTCCTAGGAGGAAGTCGATGTCCGATGGCGACAAATGGAAGCCGAACCTACCAGCAGTACGCGCTACGATCAAATTCGCGATGGCAACCGGGAGACTAGACACGGACCAACGATGACAGTACTGGCAAACCAGGGTGCACAGTACTAGCACCATACAGCCTCTCATTGACAGACCGGGCTTCAGCTGCTGAGAATAGGATGCTGAACACTTGGAGAAATGGGCCTTCAAGCAGGCCTGTCAACAGCGAACGAGGCTGAAATGTACGGATAGGAGCAAAATGTGGGGCTTCTGGGTGTTGCAGTCGAAAGTGGAGGATCTGTAAATAGCTTAGTGTCGCGGCCCTCTAGGGTTGGTCCCTCCGGGCGGAATAAATTGCATTGCATTGCATTGGCTCCTGCAGTCGAAAGTGGAGGATCTGTAAATAGCTGAGTGTCGCGGCCCTCTAGGGTTGGTCCCTCCGGGCGGAATAAATTGCATTGCATTGCATTGGCTCCCGAGTACATGGTTTCTTCTCACCTAAAGCCCAACGCTTCTTTCCATCTGTTTCCAGCCTCGTTCGCTGTGACATGACAGGCCTGCTTGAAGGTCAGTTTCTCCAAGTGTTCAGCGTCCTACCTTCAGCGACTGAAGCGCGATCTGCCAAGTTGAAGGCTGTTGTGTTAGTATGGTTGTTCTTGATCAGTACATGGCCCGTTAACGGTCCATACTGAAGCGTTTTGTCGCCAATGCGAACTGTATCGTCGCACGCACAGCCCCAATATCAGGTTGCCACTTGTCGTCGTCTGACTCTGCCTTGCCTCCTAGGAAGAAAGACAAGTCTCCCACCTTTCCGCGCGCATATCGCAGCATGGTCTCTCGTTGTACCGTCCATCTTCTGCATCGAAAGAGGAAATGCTCCACTGTTTCTGCAGACTGCCCACAAGTGCACTCATCCGATTCCACCGCCCCGATTTTGCAGAGGTAGCTAGGTATCGTGAGACGCGGTCGCGTTGTGGCGGCGCGTGCAGACCCTGCAGACTGTGTGACTTATGTTGTAGTAGTAAACTTGCTGTACAGCTATGTACAGCTGTCGCGCCCGTCGGCGCACTTGCCTAAATAGGACTAAACATCGTGCCCTTAGGCGGGAAGCATCGTGCCCTTAGTGTGGCCCCCATAAACCGTTCTTTTGCCTTCATGGAAGCTGCATGTGGCGGAGGGGCGTGTAAAGCGGGTTAGCCGCTTCGCGGTGCGCCACCCTACGATACATTGCGACAGGCCTCCCTTGCGCCATGCGCGCGCCCTGCAAATTTGGTGGCGGGCGCGGCAGGGCGCCAAAAAGGTGGGCTACTGTATAAATAGCAATTCCCTACAGTACAAATAGCAATCCTCCTATTCGTACTAGGGGGGGCCGACTTCCTTTCCACACAGGGTCGGAGGCCCACTTTTAGGCCCCCTAGTAGGCCCACAGCTTTCTACCCTTTGAAGAGTAGTCCTATTTGTACTCGGACATTTCCCTTAAATCTTCCATCATCTTTATGATCATCAATCAATTGAACCTCTCTACAATTGCCTATTTAGGCAATCCTATGACTGGCTCTCTGTTGCGTAGGAAGGTGACAGAAACCCTCGTTTCTGACATGGAGCACACAGATATCCTCATTGTGGGCGCCGGCCCAACCGGACTCCATCTTGCATATAACCTACGCCGACTCGGCGTCCCATGCCGCATCATCGACCGAAGCCCCGAAATATCGCCCCACACCCGCGCTGTTGCCTTTACGCCGCGGACGCAGGAGATATTCGAACAGACTGGTCTCCTTCCCGTATTTCGTCCATTTATGACACGCGCATCCCATTTCAATATGATCGGGTTTGGCCGCATTCGCATGCAGAACCGTTTCAGTGCCCTGCCTTCCAAGTTCAATTATGCTGGAGTGCTTATCCAGCCTGTATTCGAGCAGGTCATGACCACAGAGTTGCAGCGCGTTGGCGGCGTGTCTGTTGAGCGCAGCACCGAGCTGCTGTCGTTTTCCGTTAATGACTCGGGCGTTACTGCAACGCTGTTACGAAAGGCCAATGCAAAGTGTACAAGTGGTTCGCGCAGTCAAGGGCCAGCACGTCCGAGCCCACAAAGGAAGCCGGTGATGAAGAGCTCACCGTCCGGGCCAAGTTTCTCGTCGGCTGCGACGGCACGCACAGCACAGTCCGCAAGCAGATGGGCTGGAAGTTCCTTGGCAAATCCACTGGCATACGCCATGCACACGCCGACGTAGCCGTCGAGACAAGCATACCGCACATGTCAGAACCCAGCATCGTTTGGAATAACGTCGGGGCGTTGATGATTGTCCCTCTTGGTAACGGCAAGCATCGCGTCACTGTCAGGATCGACGGCTTGGTTCCCGACGGCGCGCCGATTGAAGCTGAGGAGCTTCTCAACATGGTCAGAGCACGCGTCGAGCCGCAGTTCTCTATCCGGTTCAAACAGGTCGACCGGGTCACCACGTACGTGATCCACGAGCGCATGGCCGAGCGATACAACGATGGGCACGGGCGTGTGTTTATCGCTGGTGACGCAGCGCACTGCCATTCGCCAATGGGTGGCCGTGGCATGAACACGGGTCTGCAGGACGCCCACAACCTCGCGTGGAAACTGGCGCTGCTCTGTCACGGCGTCGGCGATCACGCTGTGCTTGCCCAGTCCTTCGCGACGGAGCGCCGCCCGATCGCTGAACATATCATCGGATACTCGGGAGCGCTAACTCGACAGAACTGGAACGCGTCGTGGCTCTCGCTGCGGATCCGCGCGTATTCACTGCCGCTTATCCCAAAGTCGTGGATAAACCGGCGCCAGCTGGAGAATTCCGACCTGATGTATCGTTATTCCGCCGGGTCGCCGCTCATTGCTGCGAGCACAGTGTCGGGCACGCCGCGCATTCCCAGCATGAACGAGATGGTGCAGGTCGGTCGACGGCTGCCGTACGGGACGCTTCGCGACGCACTATCCTGGCGGCGCACCAGCTTGCAGCTGCTTGCAGGCTCCGACGCCTTCTTCGGCATGTTCGTGTTCGCTGCTCCGACCGATATTGCGCTGGCTGCGTCGCTGGCATCGCTCTCGGCCGCGCTACGCTTGCTGCCGTGCGGGACGGACAATATCGTTCTGTCGCCGGTAGAGCTGGCGCAAGGCACCGACAATGGGGACGCCGACATGCGCCCGCGTCCCGTCAAGTTACTGTTTGCCATCCGCGTTGTGGTTCCGTCCGGGTTCCGTAAGCTCATATCCAATGCCCCCGCGAACACGGTGGTCTTTGTCGACGTGGAAGCCGATGTCGCCCACTCGCTCGGCGTCGACGGAGAATGGCCCGCCAAGCGCGAGAGCATTCTGGTGGTCACGCGGCCCGACGGCATCATCGGATTTACCGCAACACTGAAGAGCGAGCATGCCGCCACATGGCGCGGACTCGAGGCGTACTTCTCAGGCTTCATGTCGGCATAGTTGAGGAACGGACTAGGTACTCGTGCCCGTCCCACTTTTCTGGATTCCGGCAAGCCTTCACCAGCCAAGCTGGCTCTTTCTATGTTTTCTGCCCGTAGGCTCCCGTGGGCCTACGGCCCAGCTGACTGCGTGGGCTTTCTCAGTCACCCGGCTCTGACCGAAGACTGACTAATATTACGGCTTTACCGCCGTGCCGGAACCCGCTGACGGGGAAGGGACCTGAGAATCCGAGCGGCCACAGAGTCCAAGAATTGCTAGATAGGGTAGAAGTAAGGAAGGCGCGACGGGTTTCCGGCGAGCACCCTCATCTTGTACTATACCTAGCCTAGCACGTCTTTTGCCCTTATAGGGATGTCCCAGACGGTAATCAATACTACTACTACTACTACTACCAGCCAAGCTGGCAACTCTCCCCTGTAAAAAATTCTTCTCTTCTGCGGGCTGTTAGCAGCCTGTTAGTGGATAATTATTTTCAGGTCACCCGACCATGCTTCTGCCTCTCTAGCCCTAACGGGGCTCTAGCAAGCACCAAAAGGCAGACTTTGGAGAGTTCGTCTCCTCTTGGGAAGCTGGTCTCGAATAACGGCATGCCTCGCGCTGCCTCGCCTTCTGCCGCCTCGCGGCATCGCCTACTTCTGCCGCCTTTACTGGCTGGCCTCGACTTCTGCCGCCTCGCGGCCCCGACCTCTTCTGCCGCCTCGCGGCCCGACTTCTTCTCGCCCTTCCTGGCACGCCTCGCGCTGCCTCGCACCCTCTGCCGCCTTTACTGGCTGGCCTCGCCTTCTGCCGCCTTGCGGCTCTGCCTCCTTCTGCCGTCTCGCGGCTCCGATCTTGCCGCCTTGCGGCCCTTTCTGCCGCCCAGCGGCCACGACTTCCTCTGGACTGGTGGGCCGCGGGGGCCCCGAGGAGCTACAAGAGCCTAGAGCTCAAGGCCTCACCCGGGTGTCCCCGGGCTGCACCAATCGACAACACCTCCACCACCTGCTTGCTACGAGGAGCAGGCACGGGGACTTCGCCGACTGTCATGACCACGAAGTGGTCCTGGATCGAACGCTCCTGCGGAGAAGACAATCGCCATCGGGGCGAACCCCGATTAACATTGCTACACTCTCTGCTTCCTTTTCTTTTCTTTTCTTTCTGCCCCGTAGGCCCTCCTCGAGGGGCTTGCGGCCGGCCCATGACTTCGTGGGCTTTCTCAGTCACCCGGCCTCGGCCAAAGACTGACTACTATTACGGCTTAACTGCCGTGCCTGGAACCCGCTGACGGGGGAAGGGCCCCGAATTTCCGACCGGCCTCAGAGCCTCAGAATTGCTAGATGGAGTGGTTAGGTGCTACACACGGTCCTTAGTCCAGGTACTCGGGATATTCTATGTATCTAGTCTTCTCTAGCCTAGCACGTCTTTTGCTGTCGAGAAGACGGTCCGAACGAGTTGAGGTCTCTAGGTCTCTCTAGGTAATACAGCTTGAAACCAGGTAAGAAGGGAAGTCTGCAGACTGTTGTTTCTTCTTCCTAGACCACTGAGGGGTCCGGAGGATCTCCTATTCGAACGGGGACCCTTTGAGGAGTCCGGCATAACTATTACTGGCTCGGGGACCTCGAGAGACTGAACTATCGATCTCATAGCTAGAAGAGCTATTCGATCGGGGAGATGGAGCTGATGTTGCTGACGTAGATGACTTACGTGGCCTTCACTAAGTGGCAAGAAGTGCCCTCTTCCTGATAGAATGTATACTATACCTGAAAACGGGATATCAACTTGGGAGAAGCTTGGAGGGATATAAAAGGGGCTGCTTGGACGGGAAAGGAGGCAACCGGGGAGGGAGAGATAGAAGACAATATCTGATCGCGTGATACTCTGTAGTCCACCCCGAATTAAATCACAACAGATGTCAAGCCTCCTATAACGTTAGTCGAGCCAGGGCCATCAACAACCAGCCCCCGATTCTCCTCCCAAAACTTCGCCGCCTCATCTCGATCCAACAATACGAACCGTTCAACCGCCCTATACTGGCGCCACGAGCCCCCAGTAAACTGCGTACCCTTGAAGAAAGCATCTGTATCTTCAGGCATGACATCCGTCCACACGCTGTATTGCCTTACAAGACCCTTCTCGTCTTGCTCCAGCGTTCCGCGAGCTTCATCCGCTCCTCCACCCAGGCCGCGCTGACCTTGTCGCCCGCCGTGGCTCTGCGGTGGAAAACATGGATCGCGAAATTTCCCTGCTCAGCAAACCTCTCTGTCGCAACGCCCAATGCTCCAACTCTCTTGGCCAGGATGCCCTTTTGGTCTTGGCGGCAGAAGATGTGCTTGCCAGCCGACTCGTGGTACACCGGGTCCTGGAAGCTCCTCCAGACGACACTTGTGCTTGGCCAGTACAGACACGAAAGAAAGTCCCACGGATCGTCGTCCATGTCGCCGCAGAGGTTGTTGGGGTCTTGAAGATCCATGGCGCCAAATTGGACATAGTTGAGTGGTAGACCACTGTGCTGGTGACCAACGCGGGCGAGGTTGGCGTGAACATTATGGTATTCGTGCTGGAAGCGGTCCTGATCCCAGGAGGGTTCCTTTTGGACAGAGATGAACCACATCACTTCATTTTGGGTGTCGTACTGTGCATGTGGTTGAGATATGTCTGACATGGTCGTAGAATAGTGAGATATGATACTAGTGAAGAAAGAGGATGTAGTAGGGCCAGGAGCGTAGGAAGAAAATTCTGTCGAGAAGAAGGTCCGAACGAGTTGAGGTCTCTAGGTCTCTCTAGGTAATACAGCTTGAAACCAGGTAAGAAGGGAAGTCTGCAGACTGTTGTTTCTTCTTCCTAGACCACTGAGGGGTCCGGAGGATCTCCTATTCGAACGGGGACCCTTTGAGGAGTCCGGCATAACTATTACTGGCTCGGGGACCTCGAGAGACTGAACTATCGATTTCATAGCTAGAAGAGCTATTCGAACGGGGAGATGGAGCTGATGTTGCTGACGTAGATGGCTTACGTGGCCTTCAGTAAGTGGCAAGAAGTGCCCTCTTCCTGATAGAATGTATACTATACCTGAAAACGGGATATCAACTTGGGAGAAGCTTGGAGGGATATAAAGGGGCTGCTTGAACGGGGAGAGAGCAATCAACACATGCATTCTCGCATACCATCTGATCATATGATACTCGACCTTCGAAAAGTCCCTTATCCACTTCTATGCCCACTTTTGCTCTCTCCTTCGCGAGAAATTCCGACAGGCAAAGTCTACCGTATTAACTCACTAAATTGAGCCGGTCTCAGCGCCACTAAATTTGTATACGCTACGTACCTAGCTGTTGTCAGAATGGTGGTTCTGCGGCTCAGGCCTAATGAGGAAATAGATGGGTATGGCACGATGGATTAATGCTTGATGCAGCAGCTTGTGTGAAGCCGCAAAAAGAGGTTGTATTGATGTGATGACGTGTGTGTTTGAGGACTCGTTGGAGGCCTCGTTCCTCCCTAAGCAAGAGGAAATTGGCTGCCGGGTGTACCCGGGTTCTGCACGTGATGATGCACGTGATCTTACATGTGTTTTTACCGGTCAGTTCCGAACATTGCGATCTAGCTCTGCGGGAGGCATCGCGAACGCCGGCTTCAAAAGCTTCAAAAATGGGGCCAAGGTAAAGAGGCTAGAATGTAGGCATAGGAAATGGGGCGAAAATGCGTCGAGCCGACTAAGGATGGCTCGGGCGGGGACAGCTAGGTACGTAGCGTATACAAATTTAGTGGCGCTGAGACATGCAGGGCCCCTCTTTCCCAGACGTTGAGACCGGCTCAATTTAGTGAGTTAATACAGTATTGTGTCGGCAGGGGATTGCTTTTTCTTAGGAATCCCTGTACGTACGACTTGAAAATCGGGCTCAGGCCCGCACGCATTTATGTAGTAGCTTTCCCCTCTTTCTTCGTAATAGTTACTGTCGGTGGACCAGGGTAGCCCTGTTAGGGAGGGACCCGGAGAAGGGATTCCTGGCCCATGTAGCAGGAACGCATGAGGACTTCCTGAGTAAGGAAGGCAACCCATTTTATGCGTGGGCACAGCCACGTATGCGTGGGTAGAGCCCATTACTCAGGAGGTCCCCAGAAGTCCCTAAGACCTCCTGTATAAATAGTCTCTTCAGACTGCCCCTTTAGATATAGAACATGCATCTTGAACCTTCGTGTATGACCCCCTTCTTATTCCGATGTGTAACGTTCCACCAACACGTACATAGTCGAGTAATAGGGCGGGCGCGACGAGGCGGCCAGGCGCGCGCCAAATTGTGGTGGGCGGGTCCCTCTTCCAAATGGGGTTTAAGTCTCCGTGCATGTTTCGAAATTCGTCCGTGCATGTTTCGTTACTCTACTCGTGCCCGCCCCCACTTTTTCGGATTTAAAGTTGGGTGAGTCGAAGCGAAATCCGAAAAAGTGGGGGCGGGCACGAGTAGTTTCTTTTGATCGCAGCCTTCGTACTAGGGGGGACTAAAATTCGTCCCGCATCTCCCTCTGGGAGGGGGGGCGCCGGCGACCGAGGAAAAGATAAGCGACCGGGAAAAGTCGCGGAGAGGGGGGCCTAAGTCCCTTAGTCAACCCCCCGAGTACTTGAAATGAGATTTTTCCAGGTTTATCGACTCAAGCTGTAGGGTATGTGATGAAGGCTTCCAGCCATCGCACCAGTCGCAGGTGGTAACCTTATCCTTGGGGCGCAGCAGAAGTCGCAAATCGCGCGTGTTTTTGCTTTTGCAGACAATGTGTCTCGGCGCAGATCGGGGGTCTAGGCGTGTCGCATCCCACTTAGGTGGGGCGAATTTTAGTGCTCCAAATAAAGTGGAGCATCGCACGGGGAGGGTTTCACCCCGTCAATTTTTCCCCCTCAAGACTTTAGTTCGCGACGAGAGGCATGTTGATACCTATGCCTGAATGTGACCTGACCTCAGATATCAAGTATATCAAGTATATCAATTCAATTCAAGTTAATCAAGTTGACAGGCGATTTCATTTCAAGTAATCAAGTTACACCCTCAACCTTGACTTACTTGAATTGAAGTCAGCGCTGGGATTATGTGGAAAGAGACCACATTTCTCCCAAGCGGATAAAATTGGGGGGTGGTTATCCGTACAACACATTTTGGTAAATGTACAACAAAAGGCGGGGCAGACGTGGCGCCACCTTTTTCTATTGGCTGGCTCTATACGCCACAGTACGCCACAGTCAAATGTATAGAAGGTACTTAGTACGTGCGCATCACCCGACTACTCGCGCAATACGACATGGCAGCAGGCAGGCTATAGCCTTGTGAGGCTGCAAGCCGCCTGATTTGTATGGCCTCTGCTTGTGTGCCCTCTTCTTGTATAGCCTTGCAACACTCTGCAGGCTTCACAACGTCTGGCTGTTATGGCCTTGCAACCTCTGCCTGTGTGGCCTTGTGTAAGTGCTATGCCTGCATGCCTACGACCTTTGGCCATGTATTAGGTACACCCAAGCCACGTTTACTCCACTTTCTCTTGTACATTTACCAAAATGTGTTGTACGGATAACCACCCCCTAAAATTGTAGCCTTTTTGAACGTGCGGTTCCGGATCTCTTGAAGGTGGAATAGGAAGTCAGTCTTCTTAAAGTCAGTGGCTCCATCTGCAACCTCACGGTATAAGACTTGCTGGTGCCAGTGCTTATATGAGCGGAACACGCCTACATCGAGAGGCTGAAGTAGATGTGTAAGATGTGGCGGTAGGGGGAAAAGCTCGATCTTATGTTGCTTGCAAAGGTGGACGATCTCGCTACTTGGGGGGACTAAAATCCGTCCCGATTCCCGCGCATATGACTTGACATGCGCGGGAATCGGGACGGATTTTAGTCCCCCCAAGTACTCTATTTATATCCCCTTTTCGTAAGTACAAGTACTAGGGGGCTGGGCTCCGTTCCCCAGCCTCCCCCTTTGCATAGGCTTTCTGAGCCTCGTATATACAGTCTCCCTACAGCCTATGTGGCTGCCTTATGCTGTCTCAAATCTCTCTGCAAACTTCTGACTAGCCCTAACAGGACCCTTAGCTGTATACCCCTCATGGTCACCCAAAGCTCAAGATCTCAGACGTGCTGTCGAGAAGAAGGGTCTAAGACTTGGTCCTGAAGCCTGATAGCCAGCTGAAGGTGTAGGGAGAGACAGGTGAAACTGGGAGGACGTGGCAAGCTGACGCGGAGAGGGGGTGCCTATGCATTAGTAAGTCCGCAAGGAAGAAGATGGAGCACAGAGGAAGAAGCAGGACAGAAAGGAGGAATGAACACACATGCACCCTAAAATATTATGCCCTCTGCCCTGCTCTCTTCGCGAGACGTGCTTCGCGAAACCCTCAATCGTTACGAAACCATAATTCTACTCTTCCTCTGAATTCCACCATTCCGTCACAATGGCGCTTGGGTCCGAAGGCAGCGACTCATCCCTCCACTTTCCGCGTATTCTATGTCTCCACGGTGGTGGCACCAACGCTCGCATCTTTCGAATGCAATGCCGTGCTTTCAAGTACCACCTCGGCAGCGAATTCCGTTTTGTCTTCGCAGAAGCTCCTTTCCCTGCAAGACCAGGTCCCGACGTCACTGCCGTGTATAGCAATTGCGGCCCGTTTCGCGGCTGGCTCCGGCCGGTGGACGAGACTGAAGATCAGGACTTCTATGCCGCCGAAGCTTCTATGTTAATCCAGAACTCCATCAACACCGCCACCATTGCCGACAACCATCTCGGCGCAACTGGCGAGGTTGTTGGGGTTCTGGGCTTTAGCCAAGGCGCCAGGATCGCAGCCAGCCTCCTCTATAACCAGCAACTGCGTTGTCAACAGCTTGATGGTGGCTCTGAGATGAAAACAAACAGCGTAATGAACTGGCCAAACTTTCGCTTTGCTGTTTTACTAGCAGGTCGTGGCAGGCTGGTCTGGCTCATGCCTGATGTTCCGATGCCTCAAGGACTTGTTCCTCCACTGCAGCCCTCTGCCATACCGCCCTTGCTGCAAGACGACGCTCCTGGCTGGGAAGGGCTACATCTCCATGACAAGCTGCAGCTGCCTACGGTCCATGTCCACGGCCTCAAAGATGTAGGGCTGGAGTTCCACCGGCATCTGGCCAAACGGTACTGTATTCCCGGCTCATATACTATCATCGAGTGGCAGGGTGAACACCGCGTACCCATCAAGACCAAGGACGTTTTTCCTGTCGCGGAGCAGATGTTACGTCTCGCGCAGTGATTATAGGTGGATTTCCTGGGCAACTCCTGGCTGGAGAGAGTCGAGAGCTAGTGGGCAAAATTGTTCAATACCGTAAAATACTGCGTCACACCTTGCACTTCAGGGATGTGGTGCAAGGCGTACAATCAGCCGAAGGCTGCGAGTCTGGCCAACAGTCAACCAGTCACCGAACAATCAGTACAGTATCTACAATCATACACTTCATTTGTGCCTTGGAAAGCGTCGTTCTTGTTGCGGAGCCGGCGACGACGCCGTGAAAGGAGACAACAGGAGGCGTCGAGGGGAAGTGGCCGCCGGGCGCCAAGGAGCGCGGGAGGACGCTCAGGGAAGAGATCAGCGGGGCCGCAAAGAGGAGAGAGGGGAGGCCTACGGCTGGTAGCCCTGGTCGCGGACGACGAGGGCGGGCATCGTATAGAGGAGAGTCTCGCCGACGTCGGCCTCGAGACCGTCGCGGCGCTCGACCTCCCAGGCGAGGGCGTACGGATGGACGCGGCCGGACATAAAGAACCACTGTTCAGACCAATCCGAGTTGACGACCGGCACGCCGTAGATTGAGAGATTTAAGCTAAAGAAGAGGGGGGAGACATCGTTGTCACCTCCCCCCGCCCGGAGGGGAGCGTAGTCGAGCGCCAGCAGCCACGAGGGGGCGGGTAGGAGGACGCGGGCAATGGCCTCGGCGTTGAGGCCCCTCACGCGGTGCTCGTCCTGGTGGGCGAACCTCACGGGGCAGTCGGGCTGGGCAAAGAACATCATGGTCATGTCGCCGCCGGCGCCCTTATTGCTGGTAAGAGGCCTACGAAGGTGCGGCGGAGAGTTGGTGGTGGGCGGCGTCGGGGACATTATAGCCCTCTAGCAGGATGTACCATGCACCACCAATAGGATATCCACAGCGGGGTTTTGGTGGCTGATTCAGCGGCTGAGCGCCACAACACCGCAGTTTAGCGTCCGTGCCCTCAGCGGCTTCCAATATCCACCCTTGTCCACGGTCGGCCGGACGGCCGACCGCCGCCCGGAACGCCGCGTCTTGAAGGGCTCTCAAGGCTCGACGAGCTCGTCAAATTACGAGGGAGGAAACAAAAATAGTGTATTTCTACCTCTTTGGTTGTACAACTTTTGCCTTTCTGTTGGCTCGGGCTGTTTGCAAAATAAGTCCAGCGAGCAGCCGGTTTGCTGCTGTTGTAAGTTGACAATGTGCATCGCGGCCTCCTCGCTACACCTGTGGGCCTTCGCCACCTTGCGAATCTCCCTTATAACCTCGAGCCGTAACGAATACCACTGCAATTCATTTTGTCGCCCGGCGCGCCACCGGCTTCCCCATCTACCGTCGAGGTCGGCAATGGCTGGCCCGCCTCGAAGGCCAACCGTCCACTCGCTCCAGAGCGCCTCGACCATTTTACTGCTCGGCACATCTGATACCGTGGCGGTGGCTCTGTCTTAACCGTGATCGTATCTGTCGCCGTCGGGCTCGTGGCACGGCTATCAACAATGCTCGACTGAGCCGAGACGAATCGGCTTCCATCTCCTCGTCCTCCTGCCCAACGACATCAACCACGGCCGGGGCCGTGGTGGCAGTGGTGGTCGTCGCGGCCGTAACGGAAGTTGAAACCATTCGAAAAAGGGACGACTGGGCTACCGCAAGACGTTCTTCGGTGGCTCGAAGCTGCTCGCTTAGCTCTGTTTTAAGCTGGATCGTCCTTGCTTCGTTCCGCGCGTCGATGGATTTAAGATAGTCCGCGAGGACCGGCATCGCCTGGACTAGGACTGCAAGCTGGCGGACGCTCCTCTTCAAGGACGAAGTCCGATAGCTGGTGCGCGAACGGGGCGTAGGCCGGATGCCGGAAGACCGGGTGGTTCCAAACGGGGCTGCCGGGTATTTCTTCATCAGGACAACGGAATCCTGCAAGACAACCTCCGTAAATAGAAGATGAGGTTCGTCGAACCCATCGCTGCCAGGTCGTTCTCCTGCTCGGTACCGGGACCGAACCGGCCTCGCCAACTGTCCAGCTCGGGCCAGATCATCGAGCAGGACCTCCGGCGGCGTCACGCCGGCACGGCGTATCTCGAAGCATCCGGCCTGCGGCGGGTGCCCGGCCATCGTACGCATGAACTTGCGAGGCAACGAGTTCAGGTAACAGCCGACCATCTGCTCCTGGTTCCAACGACCCGCGCGACGGATCTGGTCTTCGCTAATCCCTTTAGTTCAGCCGTCCTCGCCCCGAGCTGCGGCCGACATGCGTCTTCTTCTGCGACGTGACGCCGGCGTAGGCGAAGGCCTTGACAACCCACTCGCGCTGTGAGTTGTACGAGAAAGCCGCCGTCCGGCCGGTGCCGTTACCCTTGATTAGCCGGATGTCGTACCACGAGGACCGCCTGCTGAAATCGAAACGGCTCACTACCGAGATCCCAACGATACAAGAGGTAGAACGAGGCCACCCAAGATGCAGATTAGCGGGTTCCTATTCCGATACGCGCCGGCGGTCTCGAGGCGGCCGTGCTGGTTCTGCTTGCCGGCTCGTGTCGTAAAGATGAGCGGCATGCACCGGGTCGAGCCCTCCTGGCAAACTCAAAGGTGAATAGGTCTGAGATCTCTGCAGCCCGACGATCGCCGCCACGGGTGAGAAGATAATGGCCAAGAGGAGATCCACGAGGTCCGAAAATGACACTCGGGCGATGTGCCGCTGTGGGCCCACAGCTCGTGGCATACTCGTTCGAACTCGGACTCCGAGTAACCATCGAGCAGAGTATCGCGGCCTTTATCGGCATAGTTCTCCCTGTCTCGTTGGGCGTCCCGGCGCTGTAGGGACTTGAGGTACTCTCGTACGTTGTCCTCGCGCGGCGACGGGTGCGTATTCATTCCGAGGGCCTTCTGCGTCCGGTAAAGATCCGTGATTGCGGTGACATAAGTTCGGACCGACCGCCAGGCCAGGCGGGTCTCGTCCTGCGGAGTATCAGTGGCGGCCTTGCGGCTCCTGACCTTCAAGGCCGACCCGCCACCTCCCCGACGAGGGAGAGGAGGGGCTTCTCCCCTGTGACCGTAGCGCCGTCACAATACTGTTTGTGGCGGCAGAATTGCTCGAATTCCTCTTGCTTCGGTGCGTACGCCGAGGTCGTATTCCTTGCCGAGACTCGTGGATCGCAGAGAGGATCGTCTGCGCATTGGCGCGTAGCTCCGCGTCGTTTATCGCGTTCTGCCGGATGCGTTGGTCCACTCGTACGCTCGACGGCTTTGCGCGACTCCTGCCCCTGCCCCTGCCCGGCCGCTGCTCCTGCGAGCTTCGGCGGGCCGCTTTGTCTTCGCCTTCCGTCGATTTGGCGTCCGGGCCATGGGATATATCGTGACGGGAAGACCAAGGCAAGCCTGCAGTGACCACCAGTCCGGGTTGGAGCGGGGTGGCGCGCGGCGACGAGAGATGCCTATCTAGCGATCACGATGCGCACCGCCTGGTCGGGTCGCCCGCTAAAATTCCAGTGGACAGGGCGCCGTAGCGAACGTGAATAGCGGCTTCTCCATCGAATCAGCGACGCAATCAGGGGGGCACCGATATCTGCGTATATCCACGGCGCGCGCCGTTCGGGTGGGGTGGATATCCGCAGATACGATTGGCCCGCCTGGTCGCTGATTCTCGGATTGCCCCACCCGACCAGATCAGCGGCGCTCAGCAAACCCTCGGATACCTTCGTGAGGCTCGTTGGCCTCGTTGGCTTCGTGGGCCTCGTGGGCTGCGTTGGCCGCGTTGGATATTGGTATCCGAGGGTTTGCTGAGCGCCGCTGATCTGGTCGGGTGGGGCAATCCGAGAATCAGCGACCAGGCGGGCCAATCGTATCTGCGGATATCCACCCCACCCGAACGGCGCGCGCCGTGGATATACGCAGATATCGGTGCCCCCCGCTGATTGCGTCGCTGATTCGATGGAGAAGCCGCTATTCACGTTCGCTACGGCGCCCTGTCCACTGGAATTTTAGCGGGCGACCCGACCAGGCGGTGCGCATCGTGATCGCTAGATAGGCATCTCTCGTCGCGCGCGCCACCCCGCTCCAACCCGGACTGGTGGTCACTGCAGGCTTGCCTTGGTCTTCCCGTCACGATATATCCCATGGCCCGGACGCCAAATCGACGAAGCAGCGAAGGCCCAAGCCGAAGCTCGCAGGAGCAGCGGCCGGGGCAGGGGCAGGGAGTCGCGCAAAGCCGTCGAGCGTACGAGTGGACCAACGCATCCGGCAGAACGCGATAAACGACGCGGAGCTACGCGCCAATGCGCAGACGATCTCTGCGATCCACGAGTCTCGGCCAATACGACCTCGGCGTACGCACCGAAGCAAGAGGAATCGAGCAATTCTGCCGCCACAAACAGTACTGTGACGGCGCTACGGTCACAGAGGAGAAGCTCCTCTTCTCGTCGAGGAGGTGGCCGGTCGGCCCTTGAAGGTCAGGAGCCGCAAGGCCGCCACTGATACTCCGCAGGACGAGACCCGCCTGGCCTGGCGGTCGGTCCGAACTTATGTCACCGCAATCACGGATCTTTACCGGACGCAGAAGGCCCTCGGAATGAATACGCACCCGTCGCCGCGCGAGGACAACGTACGAGAGTACCTCAAGTCCCTACAGCGCCGGGACGCCCAACGAGACAGGGAGAACTATGCCGATAAAGGCCGCGATACTCTGCTCGATGGTTACTCGGAGTCCGAGTTCGAACGAGTATGCCACGAGCTGTGGGCCCACAGCGGCACATCGCCCGAGTGTCATTTTCGGACCTCGTGATCTCCTCTTGGCCATTATCTTTCACCCGTGGCGGCGATCGTCGGGCTGCAGAGATCTCAGACCTATTCACCTTTGAGTTTGCCAGGAGGGCTCGACCCGGTGCATGCCGCTCATCTTTACGACACGAGCCGGCAAGCAGAACCAGCACGGCCGCCTCGAGACCGCCGGCGCGTATCGGAATAGGAACCCGCTAATCTGCATCTTGGGTGGCCTCGTTCTACCTCTTGTATCGTTGGGATCTCGGTAGTGAGCCGTTTCGATTTCAGCAGGCGGTCCTCGTGTTCCGGGTAATCCGGCCGGACGGCGGCTTTCTCGTACAACTCACAGCGCGAGTGGGTTGTCAAGGCCTTCGCCTACGCCGGCGTCACGTCGCAGAAGAAGACGCATGTCGGCCGCAGCTCGGGGCGAGGACGGCTGAACTAAGGGGATTAGCGAAGACCAGATCCGTCGCGCGGGTCGTTGGAACCAGGAGCAGATGGTCGGCTGTTACCTGAACTCGTTGCCTCGCAAGTTCATGCGTACGATGGCCGGGCACCCGCCGCAGGCCGGATGCTTCGAGATACGCCGTGCCGGCGTGACGCCGCCGGAGGTCCTGCTCGATGATCTGGCCCGAGCTGACAGTTGGCGAGGCCGGTTCGGTCCCGGTACCGAGCAGGAGAACGACCTGGCAGCGATGGGTTCGACGAACCTCATCTTCTATTTACGGGAGGTTGTCTTGCAGGATTCCGTTGTCCTGATGAAGAAATACCCCGGCAGCCCCGTTTGGAACCACCCGGTCTTCCGGCATCCGGCCTACGCCCCGTTCGCGCACCAGCTATCGGACTTCGTCCTGAAGAGGAGCGTCCAAGCCAGCTTGCAGTCCTAGTCCAGGCGATGCCGGTCCTCGCGGACTATCTTAAATCCATCGACGCGCGGAACGAAGCAAGGACGATCCAGCTTAAAACAGAGCTAAGCGAGCAGCTTCGAGCCACCGAAGAACGTCTTGCGGTAGCCCAGTCGTCCCTTTTTCGAATGGTTTCAACTTCCGTTACGGCCGCGACGACCACCACTGCCACCACGGCCCCGGCCGTGGTTGATGTCGTTGGGCAGGAGGACGAGGAGATGGAAGCCGATTCGTCTCGGCTCAGTCGAGCATTGTTGATAGCCGTGCCACGAGCCCGACGGCGACAGATACGATCACGGTTAAGACAGAGCCACCGCCACGGTATCAGATGCCGAGCAGTAAAATGGTCGAGGCGCTCTGGAGCGAGTGGACGGTTGGCCTTCGAGGCGGGCCAGCCATTGCCGACCTCGACGGTAGATGGGGAAGCCGGTGGCGCGCCGGGCGACAAAATGAATTGCAGTGGTATTCGTTACGGCTCGAGGTTATAAGGGAGATTCGCAAGGTGGCGAAGGCCCACAGGTGTAGCGAGGAGGCCGCGATGCACATTGTCAACTTACAACAGCAGCAAACCGGCTGCTCGCTGGACTTATTTTGCAAACAGCCCGAGCCAACAGAAAGGCAAAAGTTGTACAACTAAAGAGGTAGAAATACACTATTTTTGTTTCCTCCTCGTAATTTGACGAGCGTCGAGCCTTGAGAGCCCTTCAAGACGCGGCGTTCTGCGCGCGGCCGTCCGGCCGACCGTGGACAAGGGTGGATATTGAAGCCGCTGAGGGCACGGACGCTAAACTGCGGTGTTGTGGCGCTCAGCCGCTGAATCAGCCACCAAAACCCCGCTGTGGATATCCTATTGGTGGTGCATGGTACATCCTGCTAGAGGGCTATAATGTCCCCGACGCCGCCCACCACCAACTCTCCGCCGCACCTTCGTAGGCCTCTTACCAGCAATAAGGGCGCCGGCGGCGACATGACCATGATGTTCTTTGCCCAGCCCGACTGCCCCGTGAGGTTCGCCCACCAGGACGAGCACCGCGTGAGGGGCCTCAACGCCGAGGCCATTGCCCGCGTCCTCCTACCCGCCCCCTCGTGGCTGCTGGCGCTCGACTACGCTCCCCTCCGGGCGGGGGGAGGTGACAACGATGTCTCCCCCCTCTTCTTTAGCTTAAATCTCTCAATCTACGGCGTGCCGGTCGTCAACTCGGATTGGTCTGAACAGTGGTTCTTATGTCCGGCCGCGTCCATCCGTACGCCTCGCCTGGGAGGTCGAGCGCCGCGACGGTCTCGAGGCCGACGTCGGCGAGACTCCTCATACGATGCCCGCCCTCGTCGTCCGCGACCAGGGCTACCAGCCGTAGGCCTCTCTCTCTTTGCGGCCCCTGAGCGTCCTCCCGCGCTCCTTGGCGCCCGGCGGCCACTTCCCCTCGACGCCTCCTGTTGTCTCCTTTCACGGCGTCGTCGCCGGCTCCGCAACAAGAACGACGCTTTCCAAGGCACAAATGAAGTGTATGATTGTAGATACTGTACTGATTGTTCGGTGACTGGTTGACTGTTGGCCAGACTCGCAGCCTTCGGCTGATTGTACGCCTTGCACCACATCCCTGAAGTGCAAGGTGTGACGCAGTATTTTACGGTATTGAACAATTTTGCCCACTAGCTCTCGACTCTCCAGCCAGGAGTTGCCCAGGAAATCCACCTATAATCACTGCGCGAGACGTAACATCTGCTCCGCGACAGGAAAACGTCCTTGGTCTTGATGGGTACGCGGTGTTCACCCTGCCACTGATGATAGTATATGAGCCGGGAATACAGTACCGTTTGGCCAGATGCCGGTGGAACTCCAGCCCTACATCTTTGAGGCCGTGGACATGGACCGTAGGCAGCTGCAGCTTGTCATGGAGATGTAGCCCTTCCCAGCCAGGAGCGTCGTCTTGCAGCAAGGGCGGTATGGCAGAGGGCTGCAGTGGAGGAACAAGTCCTGAGGCATCGGAACATCAGGCATGAGCCAGACCAGCCTGCCACGACCTGCTAGTAAAACAGCAAAGCGAAAGTTTGGCCAGTTCATTACGCTGTTTGTTTTCATCTCAGAGCCACCATCAAGCTGTTGACAACGCAGTTGCTGGTTATAGAGGAGGCTGGCTGCGATCCTGGCAAAGCCCAGAACCCCAACAACCTCGCCAGTTGCGCCGAGATGGTTGTCGGCAATGGTGGCGGTGTTGATGGAGTTCTGGATTAACATAGAAGCTTCGGCGGCATAGAAGTCCTGATCTTCAGTCTCGTCCACCGGCCGGAGCCAGCCGCGAAACGGGCCGCAATTGCTATACACGGCAGTGACGTCGGGACCTGGTCTTGCAGGGAAAGGAGCTGCGAAGACAAAACGGAATTCGCTGCCGAGGTGGTACTTGAAAGCACGGCATTGCATTCGAAAGATGCGAGCGTTGGTGCCACCACCGTGGAGACATAGAATACGCGGAAAGTGGAGGGATGAGTCGCTGCCTTCGGACCCAAGCGCCATTGTGACGGAATGGTGGAATTCAGAGGAAGAGTAGAATTATGGTTTCGTAACGATTGAGGGTTTCGCGAAGCACGTCTCGCGAAGAGAGCAGGGCAGAGGGCATAATATTTTAGGGTGCATGTGTGTTCATTCCTCCTTTCTGTCCTGCTTCTTCCTCTGTGCTCCATCTTCTTCCTTGCGGACTTACTAATGCATAGGCACCCCCTCTCCGCGTCAGCTTGCCACGTCCTCCCAGTTTCACCTCTCCCTACACCTTCAGCTGGCTATCAGGCTTCAGGACCAAGTCTTAGACCCTTCTTCTCGACAGCACGTCTGAGATCTTGAGCTTTGGGTGACCATGAGGGGTATACAGCTAAGGGTCCTGTTAGGGCTAGTCAGAAGTTTGCAGAGAGATTTGAGACAGCATAAGGCAGCCACATAGGCTGTAGGGAGACTGTATATACGAGGCTCAGAAAGCCTATGCAAAGGGGGAGGCTGGGGAACGGAGCCCAGCCCCCTAGTACTTGTACTTACGAAAAGGGGATATAATAGAGTATTGGGGACTAAATCGTCGATTCCCGCGCATGTCAAGTCATATGCGCGAATCGGGACGGATTTAGTCCCCAAGTAGCGAGATCGTCCACCTTTGCAAGCAACATAAGATCGAGCTTTTCCCTACCGCCACATCTTACACATCTACTTCAGCCTCTCGATGTAGGCGTGTTCCGCTCATATAAGCACTGGCACCAGCAAGTCTTATACCGTGAGGTTGCAGATGGAGCCACTGACTTTAAGAAGACTGACTTCCTATTCCACCTTCAAGAGATCCGGAACCGCACGTTCAAAAGGCTACAATTTTAGGGGTGGTTATCCGTACAACACATTTTGGTAAATGTACAAGAGAAAGTGGAGTAAACGTGGCTTGGGTGTACCTAATACATGGCCAAAGGTCGTAGGCATGCAGGCATAGCACTTACACAAGGCCACACAGGCAGAGGTTGCAAGGCCATAACAGCCAGACGTTGTGAAGCCTGCAGAGTGGAGTAATCAAACATACACTCCAGATTTTCAAACATACACTCCCGACCTAAGCCCCATTTGGAAGAAGACCCCGCCACCAAAATTTGGCGCGCGCTTTCCCAACGCCGCTGCCGCGGCTGCCTGCCTAGATATATTGTCGCATATCACGCCCGTGTCAGTTCCTGAAACCTTATGCTCGATCACTGCCACTGCTGCGCCAGGCTTCGCCGCAATGATCGGGGTATATATTGTTGCACGAATGTGTGCATCCAATTCTTTTCCTTTCCTTTGTTCTTTAGATAATTCTCATCAATTGACTGATGCCACAAAGATCAACCGCTGTCACGTGCGAGGTGTGGGACACTATTGTCTGACATATATGGATTCTATCTGCAATTATTACCAACGCCGGAAGATGCATCCCTTAGAGTCATTCAATTGAAGCTATCAATAAGCCCGGCCCGATCGATCTTCCGATATATACAATATGCATATAATGGCGGAAGGTCTTTGCCTACCTCTGTGACTGTGACTGTGACTGTGAGGAAGGATCCGTCCGACGCGGCGGAGGGCGAGGCACGTAAGGAACGAATTTGTGACCGGCCTGCCTGCTAGTTTTGTATGGTGCCGTGTCCTCTGATCCCCTAGCTGCTGGAAATGCTCCGTAGCCGTCTCGTGAGACTGTGCCGGCGGCTGTGCCCACATGAAGCCGTCGTGATGTGCCTGTAACGAGGAGGCGGTTCTTGCCACTGTGACGGCGCCGGCGCCTGTACGTATACAGGCACAATTGGTGTAGGCGGTGGCATCACATAGTATCCCTGTGACGGCGGCGCCGGCTGTGGAAGTGAGGGCATCGTCGTTTGGTATCCCTGTGACACCAGCGGCACCTGTGGAAGTGAGGGCACCTGTGATAACAGCACCGGCGTTGCTGCTGCTTGTGACTTGATGAAATCACCGATCTGCTGGGCAAGATCGTCAACCCGGCTGCTCACGGAAGCAAGTGTATTCGACCTCTTGTTCATGATAGTGGTGCCTGTGCCCTTCCTCTTCTTCTTTGCGTCTCTGGTGGCCGTGATACGAGCTCTGGGTTGGCTCTATGCTCCTCTTGCTCCCAAGCACTAAGGATCCGGCCCGTAGATGCCTCTAGTGGAGGGGATACCTCGCGTCTACTGTTTCCACGCCGGCGAGGCTGGACAACGTCAGGATCGGCTTCGTGGTCTGCATCGATATATTGCTGTTGTTCAGGCTGCTAGTAAATTAGTATAGTACTTATGGCTGGAGCAAGATACTTACAGTCACGCCGTAAACCCGCCAGTGGTTATCAATAAGATGCAATGGTATAAGGGCGGCCGCGTCAGCCTGGATCAAATCGCGGATTGTATGCCGGCAGGGCAGCCCCCATTGCATCGTGAAAGCACCCGTACAAATCGTAGGCATGCCTCGATTATCGGCAAGCTCAGCCAGGCTAGCCTAACTTGCCTGAAGATCTGTTTCATCGGCTGCCAGCCAATTTTTCGGTGCAGTGACTTCATAATCGTCTGCTTGGCCCATTCAACTCTAGCTCTTGCAAACTCGGATTGAAGCTTCTCGCGATGCTTCTTTTGCCGATGGGTAACGAGCCCTCTGATGTGCTCTTGTAGCTGATGGAGGTCAATGAAGCGGTTGCGTAATCGTGACTTCAACTCGTGATGTGTGCTCTCACACGGGAAGTTACCGTAATGTTATAATTTCGGTACTGTTGGATAGCGTAGGTGGAAAACTGGGCACGCCATGGCCAGTAGGTTGTACGGAGGTAATTAACGAGAGCTATAAGAGGAGCTATTTAGTAAAAGGTTAGAGTAGGAGGGTAGTTAGGGCTAGGTTACCTGGCTGATCCGAAAACTCTATACAGAGTAGATCCCACTGATCTCTGCACTCCTCAGCCGTGCGAGCCCTAAAGACTGAAACCCAGGCATCACGGATACCGTCAGCTGTGTGCTCAAAAGTCCGCCTTGGAGCCGGGGGTAGTATGGGTTTCCATCGTCATCTTCACGATCATCTTGTTGCTCAACGCACTGATCTGCCAGTTGTGAGGCATGTTGAATCTGGTAATCAGTGGCACGGTCGATAGGTCGGTCCTCGTCAATGGCATTATCTGCCTGTATAGGGTCGTCGAGAGCGGCTGCTGCAGCGAGGCGAGTCTCCTGTTCTGGCCTATCTCCGCCAATCTCGGTGCCATCGAGGGATCCTTCCCACTTCTTCTTGATGTGAAGGATCACGTTCTTCATCATATGCCAAACGCACACTTGTTGTTGCGTTGATGGGAAGATAGAGTCAAGGGCGTTCTTCAGGGCGGTATCAAAGTCGGTAATCACAACGCCCGGGTCCGGAATATCAGCCTGCCGACCAGCCTCACGCAACTGTGAGAGGATCCATTGGAACGCGCCTTCGTCTTCCTTGGCAGTGAGGCCAAAGCCTACACTGAAGCTCTTGTGTAGCCCTGTTGTGCCAATGATCTGTAGAAGCGGCATGTTAAAGCGGTTGACCTTATACGTATTATCCATGATAAGGAGCTCGGGGTTACGCTTCCAGTCAGCAATACAGTCATCGTATGTCCAGAAAACCTCCAAACCTTCCCATTAGGGCCACGGTCAACTGCATAGTAGCTGATTTCCCCTTTGCTTTAGCATCTTTGAGTACATCGAGGAAGGCTTGTGTAGATGTAGAGGCGCCGTAACGGAAGGCACGAAGTTGCAGCTGGATGAAGTGTATATCAGAATCGGTAATAAGGAGCTCAGGATATTCCTGTCGGATAGCATCCACGATATCCCTGCTCTTGTTATTGACGTTCTTGCTAAGCCCCTCGACGAGGCTATGAAGACGCTCGATGCCGAATTTGCGTTGGCTTCGTTGACGGACGATGGGGTTAGCAATTGGCTCAAATAGAGGTTCGTGGTTATGAGAGCCGTGCTTGATGGTGACTTTGAATGCATTGCAACGTCGGTAGAAGCGGATGTAACAGCGAAAGTCACATCCCGACTTCTTGGATGACGTCTTGTATATACCCTCTGCCTCGTCCCAGGGCCTATACTGACCACTGTATTCACAGCGGATATTGGCTTCCTTGCGCCTAGGCTTGCCGGTATTCTTGCTATTTGCAACGACTACGACGTAGCCAAGGAGCTCTTGCGTAGCTTTGAGTGTTTCAAGCGCCTCATCATACGTATCGAAAGACATCTCCGTGATAGCCTCGGTGCTACTGTTGGTATTGCTTTCGGTCGAATTCATCGGGACGATTGACTAGACGTGACTATTGCGGTAGGCGGCGGCGGCGTTGCTGTTGTGTTGAGTCAAGTGGTGATAGCTTCAATTGTTGATGATTGCGAAAATGCAGATGGCGGCCAAAAGGCAGGTGGCTGGGCGGGTGGGCGGCGGCGATGGTCACGGCAAGCCAGGGCGTTGGGAAAGCGCGCGCCAAATTTTGGTGGCGGGGTCTTCTTCCAAATGGGGCTTAGGTCGGGAGTGTATGTTTGAAAATCAGGAGTGTATGTTTGATTACTCTGCAGAGTGTTGCAAGGCTATACAAGAAGAGGGCACACAAGCAGAGGCCATACAAATCAGGCGGCTTGCAGCCTCACAAGGCTATAGCCTGCCTGCTGCCATGTCGTATTGCGCGAGTAGTCGGGTGATGCGCACGTACTAAGTACCTTCTATACATTTGACTGTGGCGTACTGTGGCGTATAGAGCCAGCCAATAGAAAAAGGTGGCGCCACGCCCCGCCTTTTGTTGTACATTTACCAAAATGTGTTGTACGGATAACCACCCCCCAATTTTATCCGCTTGGGAGAAATGTGGTCTCTTTCCACATAATCCCAGCGCTGACTTCAATTCAAGTAAGTCAAGGTTGAGGGTGTAACTTGATTACTTGAAATGAAATCGCCTGTCAACTTGATTAACTTGAATTGAATTGATATACTTGATATACTTGATATCTGAGGTCAGGTCACATTCAGGCATAGGTATCAACATGCCTCTCGTCGCGAACTAAAGTCTTGAGGGGGAAAAATTGACGGGGTGAAACCCTCCCCGTGCGATGCTCCACTTTATTTGGAGCACTAAAATTCGCCCCACCTAAGTGGGATGCGACACGCCTAGACCCCGATCTGCGCCGAGACACATTGTCTGCAAAAGCAAAAACACGCGCGATTTGCGACTTCTGCTGCGCCCCAAGGATAAGGTTACCACCTGCGACTGGTGCGATGGCTGGAAGCCTTCATCACATACCCTACAGCTTGAGTCGATAAACCTGGAAAAATCTCATTTCAAGTACTCGGGGGGTTGACTAAGGGACTTAGGCCCCCCTCTCCGCGACTTTTCCCGGTCGCTTATCTTTTCCTCGGTCGCCGGCGCCCTCCCAGAGGAGATGCGGGACGAATTTTAGTCCCCTAGTACGAAGGCTGCGATCAAAGAAACTACTCGTGCCCGCCCCACTTTTTCGGATTTCGCTTCGACTCACCCAACTTTAAATCCGAAAAGTGGGGCGGGCACGAGTAAGTAACGAAACATGCACGGACGAATTTCGAAACATGCACGGAGACTTAAACCCCATTTGGAAGAGGGACCCGCCCACCACAATTTGGCGCGCGCCTGGCCGCCTCGTCGCGCCCGCCCTATTACTCGACTATGTACGTGTTGGTGGAACGTTACACATCGGAATAAGAAGGGGTCATACACGAAGGTTCAAGATGCATGTTCTATATCTAAAGGGCAGTCTGAAGAGACTATTTATACAGGAGGTCTTAGGGACTTCTGGGGACCTCCTGAGTAATGGGCTCTACCCACGCATACGTGGCTGTGCCCACGCATAAAATGGGTTGCCTTCCTTACTCAGGAAGTCCTCATGCGTTCCTGCTACATGGGCCAGGAATCCCTTCTCCGGGTCCCTCCCTAACAGGGCTACCCTGGTCCACCGACAGTAACTATTACGAAGAAAGAGGGGAAAGCTACTACATAAAATGCGTGCGGGGCTTCCGAGCCCGATTTTCAAGTCGTACGTACAGGGATTCCTAAGAAAAAGCAATCCCCCTGCCGACACAATACTGTATTAACTCACTAAATTGAGCCGGTCTCAACGTCTGGGAAAGAGGGGGCCCCGCATGTCTCAGCGCCACTAAATTTGTATACGCTACGTACCTAGCTGTCCCCGCCCGAGCCATCCTTAGTCGGCTCGACGCATTTTTCGCCCCATTTCCTATGCCTACATTCTAGCCTCTTTACCTTGGCCCCATTTTTGAAGCTTTTGAAGCCGGCGTTCGCGATGCCTCCCGCAGAGCTAGATCGCAATGTTCGGAACTGACCGGTAAAAACACATGTAAGATCACGTGCATCATCACGTGCAGAACCCGGGTACACCCGGCAGCCAATTTCCTCTTGCTTAGGGAGGAACGAGGCCTCCAACGAGTCCTCAAACACACACGTCATCACATCAATACAACCTCTTTTTGCGGCTTCACACAAGCTGCTGCATCAAGCATTAATCCATCGTGCCATACCCATCTATTTCCTCATTAGGCCTGAGCCGCAGAACCACCATTCTGACAACAGCTAGGTACGTAGCGTATACAAATTTAGTGGCGCTGAGACCGGCTCAATTTAGTGAGTTAATACGGTAGACTTTGCCTGTCGGAATTTCTCGCGAAGGAGAGAGCAAAAGTGGGCATAGAAGTGGATAAGGGGACTTTTCGAAGGTCGAGTATCATATGATCAGATGGTATGCGAGAATGCATGTGTTGATTGCTCTCTCTCCCCCGTTCAAGCAGCCCCTTTTATATCCCTCCAAGCTTCTCCCAAGTTGATATCCCGTTTTCAGGTATAGTATACATTCTATCAGGAAGAGGGCACTTCTTGCCACTTACTGAAGGCCACGTAAGCCATCTACGTCAGCAACATCAGCTCCATCTCCCCGTTCGAATAGCTCTTCTAGCTATGAAATCGATAGTTCAGTCTCTCGAGGTCCCCGAGCCAGTAATAGTTATGCCGGACTCCTCAAAGGGTCCCCGTTCGAATAGGAGATCCTCCGGACCCCTCAGTGGTCTAGGAAGAAGAAACAACAGTCTGCAGACTTCCCTTCTTACCTGGTTTCAAGCTGTATTACCTAGAGAGACCTAGAGACCTCAACTCGTTCGGACCTTCTTCTCGACAGAATTTTCTTCCTACGCTCCTGGCCCTACTACATCCTCTTTCTTCACTAGTATCATATCTCACTATTCTACGACCATGTCAGACATATCTCAACCACATGCACAGTACGACACCCAAAATGAAGTGATGTGGTTCATCTCTGTCCAAAAGGAACCCTCCTGGGATCAGGACCGCTTCCAGCACGAATACCATAATGTTCACGCCAACCTCGCCCGCGTTGGTCACCAGCACAGTGGTCTACCACTCAACTATGTCCAATTTGGCGCCATGGATCTTCAAGACCCCAACAACCTCTGCGGCGACATGGACGACGATCCGTGGGACTTTCTTTCGTGTCTGTACTGGCCAAGCACAAGTGTCGTCTGGAGGAGCTTCCAGGACCCGGTGTACCACGAGTCGGCTGGCAAGCACATCTTCTGCCGCCAAGACCAAAAGGGCATCCTGGCCAAGAGAGTTGGAGCATTGGGCGTTGCGACAGAGAGGTTTGCTGAGCAGGGAAATTTCGCGATCCATGTTTTCCACCGCAGAGCCACGGCGGGCGACAAGGTCAGCGCGGCCTGGGTGGAGGAGCGGATGAAGCTCGCGGAACGCTGGAGCAAGACGAGAAGGGGTCTTGTAAGGCAATACAGCGTGTGGACGGATGTCATGCCTGAAGATACAGATGCTTTCTTCAAGGGTACGCAGTTTACTGGGGGCTCGTGGCGCCAGTATAGGGCGGTTGAACGGTTCGTATTGTTGGATCGAGATGAGGCGGCGAAGTTTTGGGAGGAGAATCGGGGGCTGGTTGTTGATGGCCCTGGCTCGACTAACGTTATAGGAGGCTTGACATCTGTTGTGATTTAATTCGGGGTGGACTACAGAGTATCACGCGATCAGATATTGTCTTCTATCTCTCCCTCCCCGGTTGCCTCCTTTCCCGTCCAAGCAGCCCCTTTTATATCCCTCCAAGCTTCTCCCAAGTTGATATCCCGTTTTCAGGTATAGTATACATTCTATCAGGAAGGGCACTTCTTGCCACTTAGTGAAGGCCACGTAAGTCATCTACGTCAGCAACATCAGCTCCATCTCCCCGATCGAATAGCTCTTCTAGCTATGAGATCGATAGTTCAGTCTCTCGAGGTCCCCGAGCCAGTAATAGTTATGCCGGACTCCTCAAAGGGTCCCCGTTCGAATAGGAGATCCTCCGGACCCCTCAGTGGTCTAGGAAGAAGAAACAACAGTCTGCAGACTTCCCTTCTTACCTGGTTTCAAGCTGTATTACCTAGAGACCTAGAGACCTCAACTCGTTCGGACCGTCTTCTCGACAGCAAAAGACGTGCTAGGCTAGAGAAGACTAGATACATAGAATATCCCGAGTACCTGGACTAAGGACCGTGTGTAGCACCTAACCACTCCATCTAGCAATTCTGAGGCTCTGAGGCCGGTCGGAAATTCAGGGCCCTTCCCGTCAGCGGGTTCCAGGCACGGCAGTTAAGCCGTAATAGTAGTCAGTCTTTGGCCGAGGCCGGGTGACTGAAAGCCCACGAAGTCATGGGCCGGCCGCAAGCCCCCTCGAGGAGGGCCTACGGGCAGAAAGAAAAGAAAAGAAAAGGAAGCAGAGAGTGTAGCAATGTTAATCGGGGGTTCGCCCCGATGGCGATTGTCTTCTCCCGCAGGAGCGTTCGATCCAGGACCACTTCGTGGTCATGACAGTCGGCGAAGTCCCCGTGCCTGCTCCTCGTAGCAAGCAGGTGGTGGAGGTGTTGTCGATTGGTGTGCAGCTCCGGGGGACACCCGGGTGAGGCCTTGAGCTCTAGGCTCTTGTAGCTCCTCGGGGCCCCCGCGGCCCACCAGTCCAGAGGAAGTCGTGGCCGCTGGGCGGCAGAAAGGGCCGCAAGGCGGCAAGTTCGGAGCCGCGAGACGGCAGAAGGAGGCAGAGCCGCAAGGCGGCAGAAGGCGAGGCCAGCCAGTAAAGGCGGCAGAGGGTGCGAGGCAGCGCGAGGCGTGCCAGGAAGGGCGAGAAGAAGTCGGGCCGCGAGGCGGCAGAAGAGGTCGGGGCCGCGAGGCGGCAGAAGTCGAGGCCAGCCAGTAAAGGCGGCAGAAGTAGGCGATGCCGCGAGGCGGCAGAAGGCGAGGCAGCGCGAGGCATGCCGTTATTCGAGACCAGCTTCCCAAGAGGAGACGAACTCTCCAAAGTCTGCCTTTTGGTGCTTGCTAGAGCCCCGTTAGGGCTAGAGAGGCAGAAGCATGGTCGGGTGACCTGAAAATAATTATCCACTAACAGGCTGCTAACAGCCCGCAGAAGAGAAGAATTTTTTACAGGGGAGAGTTGCCAGCTTGGCTGGTAGTAGTAGTAGTAGTAGTATTGATTACCGTCTGGGACATCCCTATAAGGGCAAAAGACGTGCTAGGCTAGGTATAGTACAAGATGAGGGTGCTCGCCGGAAACCCGTCGCGCCTTCCTTACTTCTACCCCTATCTAGCAATTCTTGGACTCTGTGGCCGCTCGGATTCTCAGGTCCCTTCCCCCGTCAGCGGGTTCCGGGCACGGCGGTAAAGCCGTAATATTAGTCAGTCTTCGGTCAGAGCCGGGTGACTGAGAAAGCCCACGCAGTCAGCTGGGCCGTAGGCCCACGGGGAGCCTACGGGCAGAAAACATAGAAAAGAGCCAGCTTGGCTGGTGAAGGCTTGCCGGAATCCAGAAAAGTGGGACGGGCACGAGTACCTAGTCCGTTCCTCAACTATGCCGACATGAAGCCTGAGAAGTACGCCTCGAGTCCGCGCCATGTGGCGGCATGCTCGCTCTTCAGTGTTGCGGTAAATCCGATGATGCCGTCGGGCCGCGTGACCACCAGAATGCTCTCGCGCTTGGCGGGCCATTCTCCGTCGACGCCGAGCGAGTGGGCGACATCGGCTTCCACGTCGACAAAGACCACCGTGTTCGCGGGGGCATTGGATATGAGCTTACGGAACCCGGACGGAACCACAACGCGGATGGCAAACAGTAACTTGACGGGACGCGGGCGCATGTCGGCGTCCCCATTGTCGGTGCCTTGCGCCAGCTCTACCGGCGACAGAACGATATTGTCCGTCCCGCACGGCAGCAAGCGTAGCGCGGCCGAGAGCGATGCCAGCGACGCAGCCAGCGCAATATCGGTCGGAGCAGCGAACACGAACATGCCGAAGAAGGCGTCGGAGCCTGCAAGCAGCTGCAAGCTGGTGCGCCGCCAGGATAGTGCGTCGCGAAGCGTCCCGTACGGCAGCCGTCGACCGACCTGCACCATCTCGTTCATGCTGGGAATGCGCGGCGTGCCCGACACTGTGCTCGCAGCAATGAGCGGCGACCCGGCGGAATAACGATACATCAGGTCGGAATTCTCCAGCTGGCGCCGGTTTATCCACGACTTTGGGATAAGCGGCAGTGAATACGCGCGGATCCGCAGCGAGCCACGACGCGTTCCAGTTCTGTCGAGTTAGCGCTCCCGAGTATCCGATGATATGTTCAGCGATCGGGCGGCGCTCCGTCGCGAAGGACTGGGCAAGCACAGCGTGATCGCCGACGCCGTGACAGAGCAGCGCCAGTTTCCACGCGAGGTTGTGGGCGTCCTGCAGACCCGTGTTCATGCCACGGCCACCCATTGGCGAATGGCAGTGCGCTGCGTCACCAGCGATAAACACACGCCCGTGCCCATCGTTGTATCGCTCGGCCATGCGCTCGTGGATCACGTACGTGGTGACCCGGTCGACCTGTTTGAACCGGATAGAGAACTGCGGCTCGACGCGTGCTCTGACCATGTTGAGAAGCTCCTCAGCTTCAATCGGCGCGCCGTCGGGAACCAAGCCGTCGATCCTGACAGTGACGCGATGCTTGCCGTTACCAAGAGGACAATCATCAACGCCCCGACGTTATTCCAAACGATGCTGGGTTCTGACATGTGCGGTATGCTTGTCTCGACGGCTACGTCGGCGTGTGCATGGCGTATGCCAGTGGATTTGCCAAGGAACTTCCAGCCCATCTGCTTGCGGACTGTGCTGTGCGTGCCGTCGCAGCCGACGAGAAACTTGGCCCGGACGGTGAGCTCTTCATCACCGGCTTCCTTTGTGGGCTCGGACGTGCTGGCCCTTGACTGCGCGAACCACTTGTACACTTTTGCATTGGCCTTTCGTAACAGCGTTGCAGTAACGCCCGAGTCATTAACGGAAAACGACAGCAGCTCGGTGCTGCGCTCAACAGACACGCCGCCAACGCGCTGCAACTCTGTGGTCATGACCTGCTCGAATACAGGCTGGATAAGCACTCCAGCATAATTGAACTTGGAAGGCAGGGCACTGAAACGGTTCTGCATGCGAATGCGGCCAAACCCGATCATATTGAAATGGGATGCGCGTGTCATAAATGGACGAAATACGGGAAGGAGACCAGTCTGTTCGAATATCTCCTGCGTCCGCGGCGTAAAGGCAACAGCGCGGGTGTGGGGCGATATTTCGGGGCTTCGGTCGATGATGCGGCATGGGACGCCGAGTCGGCGTAGGTTATATGCAAGATGGAGTCCGGTTGGGCCGGCGCCCCACAATGAGGATATCTGTGTGCTCCATGTCAGAAACGAGGGTTTCTGTCACCTTCCTACGCAACAGAGAGCCAGTCATAGGATTGCCTAAATAGGCAATTGTAGAGAGGTTCAATTGATTGATGATCATAAAGATGATGGAAGATTTAAGGGAAATGTCCGAGTACAAATATGCCGGCGTTATATGCACAACAGGTTACGCTATGTGCACAGCAAAAAGTGGAGTAGTGTGGCTTGGTGGCGCAGGAGCGCCGATACCGCAAATTTGAGCGAAGTACGTATCGCATCTTAGTGCGATTTTTGCCCTCAAAACACCACGTGTTGCAACCGGCGTCGCTTCCACCGCCAGTATTATGGAGTCGGTTTATTACCGCGAATTCGATACCAAAGAGGCTGCCCAAGCTGCCTGTCACGCCGTCGCCAAGGCCCAAGGCTTCGCCTTAGTCATACGATCGGGGAGGGCCAGCGCCTGCTATATGACTTGCTCAAAGGCAGGCGAGTATCGCGATAACACTGACCCGGGCGCCCACAAGACGAAAAGCCGGCCTAATCAGTCTACGCAGAGGTCAGGATGCCCTTCCGCCTAACCGTTAAGAAGCGCCGTACTAGTGGCGCCTGGACCCAGTGCCGTCTCCTCCTCACGCGACCACGACCACCCTTTTACGCCTGCTGTCACGCACAGTGGTTATCGCGCAGAGCTCATCGCCGAGCATCACGGTCATATCGTTCGCCTCTATAATACTGGTCTCAAGCCGTTCCAAATTGCTACCCACCTGCGCGGCCTAGCCCTCATCAAGAACCCCGACCTTAAGTTCATAACGGGGCAGCATATCCGCAACGCTATTGCTGCCTACCGCGTCAGGGAGCTCGCTGGCCGCACGCCCCTTCAATTCCTCTACGATCAGCTCAAGGACTTATCCCTCGGCTTCTTCTTCCGCGATACACGCGACCAGGAAGGGCGGCTGACCGACCTCTTCATCGCACCGCGCACCGGCATTGAGCTTTGGCGGCGTTTTCCAAATATTCTCCTTTTGGACTGCACGTACAAGACCAATAGGTTCAAGATGCCTCTTCTCAATACGTGTGGATCAACCTCAGAAAAGACCTTCTCTGTAGCCTCTGTCTTCCTTAGCGGAGAGGCAGAGCCGCAATACCGCTGGGCGCTGCAATGCCTACTTGACCTAGCAGCAGAGGAAGGCATTCCATTGCCTCGGGTCATAGTCACTGACCGTGAGCTTGCCCTCATGAATGCCCTTGTTTCCTTCTCAGAGCTTGCACCAGTAATTCACTTATTATGCCGCTGGCATATCAACAAGAACGTTCTTGCCCAAAGCAAGCAGTACTTTCCTAAGGCAACAAAGGACGGCAACCGCGTTATCCTTGCCCCACATTCACGGCCTTCCTGAAAGAGTGGAACGAGCTCATCAACGCGCCTGATGAAGCTACATACGATATACGACTTCAGGCGTTCACGGCTCAGACCATCACCCAAAGGCGGCAGTGGATTATGCGGTAAATACATGGCTCAAGCTCTGGAAGGATAAAATTGTGTTATATTGCGTTGACCGTCACCGTCATCTTGGCCATACGACGACGTCTATCGTTGAGGGCATGCATGCCACGATGAAGAAGTTCCTATGGTCGTCGACAGGTGATTTGACCTCCGTTTTGCAGCGTTTCCAAGCCTTCTGGGAGCATCAGTCAGACGAGATCCTCAATTTACAGCAGGCGGCTATACATAAGGTATCAACTTCACCCTTCAGCCGATCTTTGCGAAAATCCGGCCAAATCTCTCTTCCTGGGCGGTACGGAAAATAGGGATCGAATTCCGTGCTGTGGGCAGAAACGTTGCTACAGATGACCGGGCACAGCAGCCGCCGCCTGGCAGTTGTGATCCTCTCCATCACTGTAGCTTTAAGTCCAGCCTTGGCTTGCCATGCCGTCACGATATCTTCAAGCGGCTCAAGGATGCCCGTGGCGCCGGCGTTGGTGCCCGTGGCGCTATTCCTTTCGAAATGACCGACGTTGACGAGTTCTGGCATCGCGAGCGGCAGCTTCGGGGCTCGAGCCCTAACGACGCTCCACTCGATCCACTACCCGTACGCGGTAAAGGCCGGCCAAAGGGCTCATCCAACCTCGAGAAAGATGCCTGCAGCACAAGGCGTAAACCCTCTGCACATGAGATCGTTGAGAGGATCGAGCGTGCCGAGGCTATAAGGCCACCGCTGTCAACAGCGCCGGCGGCACTCACAAGCACGAAAAAACACGAGGCTGACAGCAAGGCTGGCGGCAAAGGCAGGGGCAGGGGCAGCAGCACCGCTGTTAACGCCGCCGATGTGACGAGGCAGGCGTTGGAATACATTTACGCTAATGGCGACTCATACGAGCCAGGCACAGAGATGCCACGGGCATATCAGCGGCACCGCACGCCTGACTCTGACAATGAGCTTGCCGGCGCAGGCGAGACGCAGGGCACAATTCACTGTTATCAGGCCACGCAGCAGGCTACGCAGTGGAATACGCAGCGGATTACGATGCCTTCAACCCATCGCGGTCACAAAGAAGAGGATACAAAGGATGAAGATGACCCCCTAGCCGATTTTGATATGATGGACGAGGAGATGGAGGAAGAGGAGTGTTTAAGGAGGAATTACATAAGGAAGGCCTCTTATAGCTACCGTCATTGCCATCGCCTTTTAATTGACGAAAGGACGCTCCGTACGACTCTAAGAATGTGCCTCTACTGTATGTATTGATGCATCTCGGCCAGCTTCAATTTGCCGCATCAACTTACAGCTGGCCTTGCTTGAGCGCGCCTTTAGGTCACGGTCGGGAATTTGCGGTATCGGCGCTCCTGCGCCACCAAGCCACACTACTCCACTTTTTGCTGTGCACATAGCGTAACCTGTTGTGCATATAACTAGTCCCATTTTATATCATCATTGCCATTTTGCCTCCACATTCCACCCACATCATGCAGCCGCTTGATGTGGGTGTATTCCAACCGCTAAAATCAGCACATCAGAAAGCACTCCGAAAATCACTCGCAGAAGGCAACATAACATTTTCGCGGATCGATTTCCTCACAGAATTTCAGGATGTCTACGAGGCTGGCTTCACGCGGCATAACATCATGGCGGCGTTTGAAAAAACAGGCCTCTTTCCCGTCAACCCAGCGCCGGCGATCACCAAGATTCTCCACGAACAACTACGGCAACAGCAACCCATTAACCCTGCGTATGCATCAGACGCTTAGTTGGGCTGCTGTGGCCCCACGCCAAGATCAACGGGTACTGCACAATGGAACTTCGAGGGTCTGTACTGTCTGAGCGGTTACTCAAGCCCCGAGTCAGCGCAACAAGCCCGAAAGTCGGGACCCTCGAGAGCCCTATTCGCTGATAAAGGTGATACTCATGCACTCTGGGATATGGCACTGCGAACGATTTACTAATCACATGAACTGATGGTGCAAGCATTGCAGCCACGACAGCGACGATGACATTGAGGCTTCTTCACCTTAACACTCAAGGCCCAGACCTTCCGTCTTAAGGACTCGTAACAACGTGACATCGTTCTTTCTGTAACACCGGCCATTGCCCCGGCAATTAACCGTACCATCTGGGTCTCTCTCCATAAGTTCCGCGGAGAAGGCCGCGTCATTGCGCAGCACCGGGTATTGAGATTGTATTCGCAGGCAATTCCGCGCAGTAAAATGGCGGTGGCGAATCATCCGCTTTATGGAAGTAGAAGTGATGCTCATGAATTCCATTTAGATCAAACCAGCGCTCCTAATAGTGCAGACCGTTGATGATGTTTATTTCGCCATTGACGATAGTCAGAGGCACTGCGTCAGACTCGCTAAGCCTAATCTAGAGTTGTCCAATACTCGGTTCCGAGCCCAAGGAATTCGTCCCGATCTAATGCCTAAATTTCTCTTACATCCTTCAATCCGTCTCTTGCTCATTTGACCTGTCCCTTTCCAATTCTGGAGCCTGTCTGATGAGGTACAGACCACTCTCCTCCGCCGCATTTGACGAAGAGTCCACCTGCCTTTAGCCGTCCGGTGTAGCTAACCTACCAGCTGTGGGGCAACCACAGGTATAGGTAGAGGGTTTGTGCTGAAAAGAAAAGGTTAAGACAGAGGATGTATGTTAGTAAGGTGTCGGTCGTAACTTGGCGAGTTCCCGGCGATACACCGGGCACCCAGGATCTGTAGCTTTGTGTGCTCCTTTTCCACCGCACGCTGCACACTTAAAAACGTCGGAGGTGCAGGTCGACGCAGAAGTGCAGACCGTTTAGCGCACTATTAGTGCACACTGCAGTTTGCACTGCTTAGTCAGCACACTGCCAGTGCAGTGTAACCGTTTGGCAACGCACTGCTGGTCCAGTGAGGCCTCCCCCTCCACACTGCTGGTTCAGTGAGGCTTCCCCCGCCACACTGCTGGCTCAGTGCGGCTCCCGTCAAACTGCCCCATAGTTCAGTGCGAGCGTCGCGCACTATCAGTGTCACCATCAGTGTGACGAGTGTGACGAGTGTGATAGAGCTAAACTTGGACGTTTGACCATTAACGTAATTCCTGGCCTACTTACAACGAGTCAATCGCTGATTAAACGGCGGGATGCGTTCTTGCTCAATTTTACAAACCATCTAGCTCTTACGAGATATCCAAGTGTTGCCAGGGCAGAACGAGCCTCTGCGTAGCTTTCATCTCATGTCTTTAGGGTAGCATCTGGTCACACTTCCCATACTCTCTGCTAGGCAGAACTTGACGTTGAAGCCTTTCCTCAGTTCACCTTGCCCCCCGCCGACAAACACGAAACAGACGCGACAGGGTAAAAGCAGATCAGATGTGCAATATTTATTGCGCTCTCCAATCGCCAGACCGCTTCACGATCACTGAACTTTACCGCTCGACTAGTCTTGATGAAGCAAGCCACCGGCTTCCAATCATCCAACCTTGAGGGATGTGATTGGACGTCAAGCTCATTCTGGGACGCCCGATTTTGGCCTTAATCTGACCAACTTGACCAATAGCGAGCCGGAACAAAGAGCTGCAGTCTCTTGAGCGCTTTACTGAACCGAATTCACGCTTGCATGCGTATGAATCGCGCCGTGACGCGCCAGACTATTTTATCAGGGCCTCGTCGCGCTTTGCAGTGTCCCAATTTCTACGGCAATGACTCCTGTTCCGTAGTTGCGGTCGTTCCCGTACCAAGATTGCCGACTTCGACACGCCCAAGACGTTTCTTCAGTATCTGATCGCCTCCAAGTTCGCGACATCATGGACAACTTCACTCAGGCGGATGCGGCCGACTGCGCAAGTGACACTGCCGCCTCATCATCGCCAACACCGTCCACTTTGTCCCCACTGAACAGTTGCCGCCAGCATATTTCGCCCGTTTGGCAATTTTGCCGAAGAGAGGAAGGGGAAAAATTATGCGGCAGCTTGGACCGACGCAAACGGGACGAAATGGTGGCACTGTCAACCCTGCTGGAATAAGAAAAGAGCCAAAAAGTACAATTACTCTGGCGGTTCATCCGCCATTGTCAACCACTTGCGCAAGGAGCACCGAATCATGCTTCCCGGAAGACAAGAAAACAGGCGAGAAGTGACGCAAACTCGACTTGGTGACATCACCGCTTGGTGTATGCCAGTGGCATTTTCCTGGACTTCTCCTGGCGTTGGTTCGACTGGCGGCGTCAGAGCCGGCTTGCGCGCAACGGCAGGGTCAGTGAAATCCCAGATTTGTTGATTCTTCGCAAATTTGCGAACAATGCTGATCCATAGATCCCAATTACCGGGGCCTTTGAGGGTGACCCGGGAAGAGACTTCGAGGTCGTCAGCGGCCATTTTAGCGTGCTTATTGTTGGTGAGGCAAACGCAGTGGAAGCAATGTGTAGTAGAAACCCGGCTTAGCAGACCGGGCTCATAACTGTCACACAACAAGAGGCACGGACAGTATGGATGACTGAGCAACGATCGGGAAGGAGATCCCCTGTGAATCGGGCAACGAAAGACTCTTAATTCTCTATCTAAGTGATGGTGAAAAGTTGGCTTCTTATACTTGTGGTTTTGGGCTGAGTGGCGATGTTGCCACCCAGGCAGCATAGATGACGACGTCACCTAGAAGGTTCGAATCCATCACTAATATGGCATTACGAACTGCTTGCTGCCTGTTAGGCAGCACAGTGAATGAGCGTTCCGATCTTGACAAGTGGACATACATGGAAAAGACCTGGGAAGACAGGCAAGAGTGGATTGAAAGAGCGAAGGCTCGCGTTGGGCAGTTGTGGAGAGATGAATACAAACCGGCCTCGCAGTGCTGCATTACCAGACCAATTCCTGAACAAAGACCAGATGCAAAACGGCCAAACGGATACAAAATATGGATGAAAGAGCAGAAGGCTACGATTTTCAGCATGGATGATGACGAGTATGATGTGTACTGTCGCGAACCTGTAATCATGGTATCGGATCCGCTCAAATGGTGGCTGGATCCAGCGCAGCGGCGACG